TATTGTTTTACAGTTTACTCTAATGTTTACATATCAGAGCACAACTTGTTCTTTCTTTCCCTCGAATAGAAACCACCTACTGCAAAGAAAATACAGGAGCAAATCAAAGCAATTGTTTCGAAATGAGGAGCTTGCGCTGAAACTTTAACATGGATTAGTTACTTTAAATAAGGAGGAAGAACACTTGCGCTGCACACTACAGGAGACCGGGATCTCAAATGCCACTCACTTCTTTTGTTTCCTACACCAGGACAATGTGAACATGAGAAGCACAGAAACAACAATTCAGTTAGGCTTTTGCCTGCAGCAGCACAACACAACAAGACTTGTGTGGAGGGAGGGACAACGAGCAGCTCGGCTTCAAAACAAAACTGGACCACGTCTGTGAATAGTTATCTTCTTGTTTAAATTTGATTTATATTTGTAAAAAAACATGACAAGGAGAATACTCTACTTCAGAAATCAGTGTGACTGAGCACTTCAGATTAAAAATACCTGTGTGAGTGTGTTTGTTTGTTTGTTTGTGTGTGTGTGTGTGTGTGTGTGTGAGTGTGTTTGTGTGTGTGTGTGTGTACTGATACTTACACAGCAGTCTGTCCAGTAGATATGCAGAAATGGGAATGTAAGAAGGGCCTTGTTACCCTCTTTGGGGAGCAGCTCCTCTTTGTATTGGACAAAATTAGCTTCAAGGTGGATCATTTTTGGAGCACGACCATAAGTCCTATGGAGGAAATTCCAAAAAAAAAAAAAAGTTTATGGACAAAGTACACTTAAATATAAAACAAAACAGACCACTAAATCTTCCACTCAGTAACACAGCCTTTTAGACTGATGAACATGACCTTATCTGACAACCACATGGTTTATTGAATAAAAGTTTTCTATAAAAGAGATCATCACACACTACCACAAAACAGAGGCAATAACATTTAGTGCAACGAGCTTTTGACACCCTTTTTGACTACAATAAAAAAGGATGATTAACAGATTATGGACACCTACAGTCTGGTCACAGTCTGTTGTCTAAGTCTGTACATATCAAAAAAGTACAATGCTACAAATCAAAATACTCAGACTCATCACTGGCTCCATTAAATATCAGTCATTCAAGTTTTGTGACACTCGTGCTGTGAGTAATACCCTTAAAATAAAACTTCAATGCACACAAAATAGTAAAATTCCCCACATGACTTTACTTCCTGTTCCAGCTCATTAAATTCAAGGTGAGGCCATATATCCTCCTCCATTTTCAATCAGCCACCGTAAACAGTATCCTTACAGTATGCACATCAATATGCTGCAGTAATGTCAGTGAGAATAAGACCAGACAAACACTAAAGCTTTAAGCAGTGAAATGATGAACTTCTCTCGTCTGGTGCACTACTCCTTAAACTCCCTACAATAAAAGGTAATGAACAGTTTTATATTCAACATACATTCTACTCTAACTGCGGCTTAATAAATGTCGGTAAATGCTTTGTGGAGGTAAAGTTATGTGTTTATCGTTATCCATTTCAGGAAGTAAAAATGTAGACCAAGAATGATGCATGAGTCTGTTTGTCAAATATATCATTGAAACTGCAAAAGCAATCCTTGTTTTTGCAGTTTTTTTTTTTTTCAATGTTTTACAAAAACCTTACAAACAAGCTTCACAGAGTTATTTGAAACCAGAATTTCCCCTACAGAGCAATACTCACCGCCTCCATTCCATTGGTTCTCTGGGAAGCTGCTGGGCCAGTGATGTATAAAGTGACGTAAACAAGCTCTGGTCTCCAGCACCTGAGAAACAAGTGAGCAAAAGAAAAAATTATAGACAAAACAATTTTACCAAGAAGGAAGACTATATATTTAAATAAATACCTTTAACACACTTCAAAAATGTTGGAACAGAGATATGTTTAGAAGAAAGTCACATTCATAATTTAGTTATTCATCACCAGGGAATTGCTCAAACTAATAGTTGCAGTTTTGCAAGTGCAATTTTTGCACATTCCTGCGGTATAACGACTTCAGCTATTCAACGGTCCCTGATCATCATTCTCTGATTCTCTCTCTCAAAAATAACATAGAAGACCAATCTACACTACGTGTAGATCAGTAATGATGACACATTCGATGTAAGAAGCCATGCCTTGGTGTTATCCTAATAAATGTAGGAAGAGACAGCATCTCTTTAACATCTCAATAAAAAGTTGCGGTACCATTGCCTACAAAATTACATGGCTACTAATACACCACAGTGCTACTTCAGATGCTGGCATGCTAAAACATTGACTTATTTTTTCCACAGAATAAAAATTTACCAACAACTGCTGCCTATCCTTTGGTCAGACTGAGCCTTTAAGCACTGCTGCATTCTTTTCAAATCATTTTGACCTTCAAACAAGGAAACCTCCCGCAAAGTCATTTGCTCCTGTCCTTCTATTTTGCATTACTGTGTTACTGGCCTTGTTTTTCCAACATGCAAAAAAGAAATGTACCATCCTTTTTGTGAAACAACAAATCAACAGATTTATTAAACTACAGCTTAAAGTTTTTTCCTGTTTTACTATATTTCCTTAAGCTAACTATATTTGAAATGACTACTTAACACTAGTTTTAATGTGGCTGTGAGCAATAAGAAAATTACAAAAGAAATGTGGGCAAATAAACAGTAAAAGGAAATGCGCTTGGCAAACTGGGAGTTGAAGCGGAAGAAACAGAACAGGGATTCAAATTATAAATGTATATATATATATATATATATATATATATATATATATATATATATATATATATATATATATATATATATATATATATATATATATATATAAAATTGATGTTAATTTAATGTTCACCAAAACTGAACTGAAATATGTTTAAAGCTGATCTCATTAAGGATGTTAAAGTTACAGTAATGTCCTTGTTTGGGTCAATGTCCTGTACTTCTTACCACCTCCTTATCAGTACCGGCATGTTTACCAGCCTTGCAGATGGACATTCTATGCTGTCTTTAATGATTAAGCTGCTTTTACTGTTGGAGGGATACATTAGGTTCTGAGTCAATACAGTAACACAAACCCCATTTTTATTTACACTATTTAATAATTCACCCATTGGTTAATAAAACGGTCTTGCATGTATTTTGGTGGCTGTTTCCACTGTGAAAAAAACAGACTGTTTGCTCTCTAACTGTACTTACTGATTTAGGCAAACCTGACAGGTTTGAAAAAAATAAAGCCTTAAAGTTTGATAGATTGACCAAGCCTCAAACATATCACTAAACCAGTATTACTAGTGTCCTACCCTGTGTGTTCCTTTTGTGTAGCTCAATATAAATAACTACAACAGCCTCTATTGTCAACTATTATTTCATCAGTTATTTCAACTATTATAGTGGCAGTGTGGAATTTAATAAACAGTGCTAGATACTAGCCAGGCTGATTCCTTGAAGAAGAAAAAAATGTTTTTTGAACACTGTTTTGGGTTTGCATTTGCTTTCATCTTTTTCTAAACTGAACACAGCATTAGTCTAAAATCCTGGATTTAATGTCAGGCTGAAAATAACTGTTTTAAACAATTCTACAGAGATTAGATTTCTTGTAGTTCTTAGATAAACTGGTCTCTTCCACATATGTAGATAAGTACATATCACAGATGTTGTGACCTACAGCACTGTAATCATGAACAGATAATTTGACAGATCTCAAATACTGTCTATTCACAGCTAGGTGAACGCTATTATTATCTCTTTAACAATTCACAAATCTCAGGGATTCTACCCAGTGTTTTAAAAACAATTAACATCTGCCTCCTTTGATTTGTAAAACATGGTTTAGACTAAATATGTGTGCAGACTTTGAAAACAACTTAAAGCAAGAAGCAATTTCTAAACAGAAACAAAAACCCTGTAAAGAAATCAATGAAATACTTTCCTTGGTCATTATAATTTAGGTTTACCTAAAATCTTAATCAAGCTTAGGTCAATAATTGAGACTTGGTCAATTTAAGTCACCAAAATGCTATTTTAGCTCTTAATGTTATTTGGCATGTAAGCAGTTCTCCTCTGATGAAGACAACCAGTGACTTTTAGAGTACTAACAACCAATCGTTTGGTTTCGCACAATATTTGCTAAAACCAGAAACTATTGGTACTTTGATTTTTTTTATTTTTTTTTTTGTTAAACTTGAGCGCGTCAGAACCGTCTCTCCTAAAATTGGATCAAGTTTAGGACGTGAGAGGAAGCTGTCAACGAGTCGCCTCCTAAAATAGCCCGTCCAGAATCATCTTGCATACACGAAGGATTTGTGAATGGAAAACTGATCGCAGTGCGAGAAAGTAGCGCGGCGACCGCCATCTGTGCTGCTAAAAGTGTGTTCGTTCACCGAGAAAAACAAGGTGAAATCTGCAGTAACTACAGCCGTGACGTTCCATCGTTAGCTCGGCCTGAAAATCAATGTAGCCGGTGTAACCAGTGAGCAACGCCTCCCCAAAACTATTTTCTTGAAAACGGACAGCTGTTCAAAACTGTGAAAAACAAATTCAATTACAGATAGAAAATAAAAATAAAACATTGGACGCTAAATCACACCGGTTTCTAAAGATGTACCTGTCAGCTAAGCTTAAACTAGCTAATGATAGGAGCTAACAAGCTAACTGTCAAGACCAGAAAGACAGACTGAACGTCTCTTTCGAAAAACACTCACATGTTACAATGGGCTTGTTCTCCATTGTATAGATGATTGGCTTTTCTTCTTGAGACTCCATATGTGTTAGCGGTACGACTCCATGAAAATGACATACAAACAGAGATGTATTATTAGTAAGTGCTTATGTGTGCAGCTGAGTTGTATCGATGGGGCCTGTGTCCCCTCTGCACTTCCGGGAAGTACGTCAACACTGCGTCATTAAAGGGGCAACCTGTAATTTTTTTTTTCACCTAAAATATTACGCTCTCTATATTTCTTTATGACTTGACATGTAGTACAACAAACATTTCATAAAACCCATTATGGCATATATACCTGTTTTCACTATGACAAAAATATATAAGAAAAGTAGCAAACAACAAAATACATAATAGCAATGTAGCATTTTTAATTTTATACATTATATACTTTATTTTCTTTGACATTATTTGCTGTATTTGATGAAAATATTAATAAAAATTCAAAACTATATGTGTTAATGCATATTCTTTAAACGGGGACGGCAATGCTGCCATCTAGCGGCACAAACTTTGTCAAAAATTATGTGTTGAACGATGGTGATATTATTGTTGTTGTTGTTACTATTATGATTATTGTCGTTGTTGTTATTTCAATTTTTCTTCTCTTCATCTTTTTGCTCCATTGGTATACGGTCCTCTTTACCCTTTTCAAGTTGTTCTTCAGATTTACTCTCTCCATTTTCTTTTTCTTTCTTTTCTTCAGAGTCAATCTCGGCTCCATCTCCTTTACCATGTCTGTTATCTTCCTTTTCTTGTTTTTGGTGTTCACTGTTCCCTTTTCCATTCACCTGGTCCTGGGTAACATTAGGAGCAGATTTATCTCCCTCAATCATCCTTTCAACGTCCTCTTTTGTGCTTTTAGTGCTCTCTCCATCCCCCTCTTTGGCCACATCATTATTGTTCTCTCTCTGTCCTGTTTTTTCCCCCTTTGCATCAGCACCATCCTGTTCCTCACCTTCCGCTTCTTCTCTTTCCCATACTACCTCGCCTCCAACTCCTTCACCTCTTTCTCCTTCCTCTTCATCCTGTGGCAGATGAGTTTCTACAGCTGCCACCTCCCACTCCAGCTGTTGTACCCTGGCTTGCATTTTGCGATTGCTCGACTCTAGTTCCACCATTAGCCGAGCTAGTTTTGTCTGCAAGGCCTCCAAATTTGTCTCCAGCCTTGTTATCTTGGTTTCCACCTTCTCTGCCTCTGCTGGCTCTCCCTCACCACTGTCTTCTAACATTCCCATTTTGGTAAGAATCTGTCTGCCCTTTTCCTCTAGGTGATGTTTGGCTGCAGGAAATTCTGATAGCACATCTGTAAGATCTTCTTTGGACAAGCTGAACAGGTCAGAGTGGCCAATGCTTCGGATGTTGGCAGTACGACGGTTGCCAGACTTGTTACCTAAAAGTAAATTATAGCTGTTAATTATTTTGTACTTGAAGCATCAGTATTAGTCATGTGTTTTGACACATTTAGGTATTTGAAGGAAGTTTTCTGCAGTACTTTTATTACTTTCCATTAGCTGTGTTTGTAAAGTAGAATCTAGATGTCCTGCCTCCCTTACCGGTGGAGCTATGAAGGCATTAGAAAGTCTCCGTTCACCAGGTGATCATACTGGTGCAACAGTATTATTTTATGTAACTTTAACCTTATAACTTAGATTGCCTACAGGATTATATAACATCTGAGTTAGCAGACGATCAACATGCACCATAATGACAACAGTCAGTGGAGATATTCACTTTCACAACAATTTGCTACCATATTTTGAGATATATGTTACCAGGAAATAGCAACCTCATTTTTGCAGTAAACAAATTACTGAATTTATGTTCTAGCATTCTACTTATTCCAAAAATGTGCTTCTTCTTTTTTGGTTTTTAATTACAATTTTTTTGAGCTACAAGTATGTCACCTACTGGGCTAACTTTCTACATCTACCTAAAAGTGACATAATTATTTTGGAAAGAAAAGAAAATAGAAAAAGACAGATCATTAAAATAAACATATTTTGTTGTGCAATAGAAATATTTGAGATTATAATAAAATTATCCATTGTGTGTTTTTTATTACACACTACATTAAAATTTTCAAAGCCTTTGTCCAGTACAAAGAATGGGACTCGAGGTTTGATTTACCTTTGATGTTGAGGATACTTATTTCCCCAAAGAAATTCCCATCACTGAGAACAGCAAACTCTGTGACTCCATCATCTGCCACAACTGCTAGTTTTCCTTCTTTGATGATATACATTTCATGGCCCACATCACCCTTCCTGCAAACATACTCTCCAGGACTGAATACCTGCATGAGGGAAAAAGAATGAGTGTTTCATCATGGGCCACTTCTTTCCTGAAAACGCCTGTGATTTGCTAAAAAGCAGCAGCACAGTTTAAATAAACTGAACCTTCCCAGTGTCTGCCTCAGACTGCATTTCCTGACCTGGGGTGTTAACTTAAGCACCAACTCCTCCAGCAAACTCTTCTCACAGTTTTGGAAAATTGTGACTTTGGAAAGTGTGGGGAGGTGGACACTGACAGCAATCTCTGTCTGTAGATGTAAAGGCAGCTGCTGCAGGATTTCATTCTCTCGCATGATTTTCTTGTTGATGTGCAAATGCTGGTACCAGTTGTCAATGCGCTTTCTCAGATCCTTGCTAATGTGATGGCTACGCAGGTAAGCTTTTACCTAAAAGGGGGAGAATAAACAAATCTTAAATTAGCTACTTTGTGTCATTTCTTAAAATAAAATAAAACAAAAAAAAAGTTCTAAAGACTTTCGACTAAATCCTCTTTATACTTACAAGCTCATGGTTAGGGAAAAAGACATTGTCACGGTTGCTTAGACTTGAGATCACGTTACCAACATTGCCGACAATGGATGCAAATACCAGCACAGCAATGAGCAAGTCTGCAATCATAAACAACTGCTCCTCTTCCCTTTCTGGCAGAGGAGTGTCCCCCACTGTGGTAAAAATCTGGGCAGAGAACCAGAAGCAGTAAAAGTACTGACGGCGCATAGATGCAAATTGTGGTGTAGTGATGTTTGGATACACCCACAAATCACTTCCGAAGCCAACGTAGCTGGAGAGTGCAAAGTAGAGACAGGCGTTCCAGTGAATCAACACAAAGATGTAGATCATGAGTTTGGATATGCGAAAGGTGTTGGGGTATGACGTTCTCGTCTCCATGCGGTCCAGTGCCTCACTCAGTCTTGGCAAACGAAGAAGGCGGTTGATTCTCACCAGTGGAGTTTGGAGGCCAAAGGCAAAGTAGAGGAGGTCAGTTGGAAGCACGGACACCAGATCTCGTAAAAAATGTTTAGAGTGGAGGTAGTGTTTCTTTAATTGAGTGAGATCTTTAATCAGAATGCCTTGATCTAAGTAACCTGGAAAAGATGGCGGAAAGATAAACAAAACCTTAATCAATTCCTTCTTTTAGTAATATTTCAAATTCTGATATAAAAAAGAAAGAATATACCTGTGTGAACAGTGATGACCATGTCGAGTAAATACATGAGGTCTGCCAGATAGTCCAGTGTGAGCCACACAGGCAGGTAGCTCCGTGCAATTGTAATAAAACATGTCCTGAAGAGAGAAAAAAATACTAACAATAAGGAAATATTAAACAATTTACCACAAGGTTTTTTTATATAAATATATCAGATAATTTACCTCAGAATGATAATCACCCAGTTGTAAACAATTGGGAAAATCATGACCTGGCGTGGAGCCAGACATAAAAAAACTGTTCTGCAGGATCAACCACCCCCTCTTTCCAACTGGAGTGTGGATGAGGTGGTAGCGAGGAGAAAACAAACTTAATATGTACAGTAATTATGTAAACAGGTTATTATGTAATATATGGTTTTAAATCATTTCATTTTTCTTCCCAAAAATACAGTAATGTTAGGGGAAAGCAAAGTAAAAATGTTTATAAAACAATGTGTTTTAACAAACTTTTATAATTATAGTTATCATAGTGCTATACCAGTTGTGTTTATATTATTACTTGTTTTTTTTTAATTGAGACTAATGATCCAGAGGTTTAAGTTTAAGTCAATAAATGCAGTGTATATTTCAATAACAAATTACTTACTTTATTTTCCAATTCCGATTCAGAAAGGTGTGATGTTTTCCACTGTCCTTGGCTTCACTTCTTTCTTCCCCGTTGACTTTATGTCCACGATGCCACCTAAGGAGTCTCTGCCACTGGTTGGCTCTGACACCAGTATTACCTGTCTGATCCATCCTTCAGAGTTCAGTACATTCCATTAAATGGGGTTGCTCACAATCAGTGTTGCACTTTGGTGGATAAAAATACAAACAACTAAAACTGCACTGAGTAGTTATGTGCAGTTCACAAACAACCAACCAGGTCTAGCTGTGCAGTGCCTGGTGACACTGGTCTCTATGGGAGGAAAGCACAACAGATGTCAGCCATCCCTCTGGGAATGTCCCCATGCCCTGGAAAACCAGAGGTGAGCACTTCTCTAAACACAGCAGATAAAAATGACGTGAGAGTTCTCCACAAGATGTTTGATTGTGTTTGCTTTGTCTATACAATAATAGACTTTATAAAAAAATATATCTGTCTCACTTTCAATAAAAGGTGTGACGATAAAATAGGAAGATTTTTTTATATATTTAAAATAACACTGTATTGACTGTTGGTTCAAAACACACACGAAGACGACAATTCTCCCCAATTTAGTCCACAATTTTACAAAACTGTAATAACAATTGGTCATGACATTAATCACTTATTTTCGCCACTTCCCGCCCTGTCTACAGCAGTGTAGGGCAGCAGTGTGGAGGTGTGAGTCAGACCGTGTAGGAGGAGTCAAAGTAAGATGGCTGCGGGAAAGGGGAGAGTATGTGAGAATTGGTCAAATGGGATGTTTATCTGTCGCTAACAGGATGCACAGCAGCCCGAACGAAGGAGTGGTTAATGTGTCAGCTACCCAGGCTCACTGTCGTGTGGTCCAACAATCGTTTTCAGGCTACTTTTTAGCCGCTCGTCCGTTTACTGCTCTGACATTGTGGAATTCATTAGCGGCTCGTCGTTAGCAGTCGAGCTGCGCTAACCCACTAGCCTCCAGGCTAGCAGTTTCTTTGGACAACAGCAGCTCAACACAACTGTGGAGACGTTTACAAACACTGAAAGGTGAGTGACTTATGGATAAGGAACCTTTAAAACCTGTACGACACGGCAGCTAACCAAAATAACTGTATGTATGGTTGACATTTGAAATCCAGCTCATTATTGTTGCACTGTCAACAAGCCTGCTACATCATCTCGTCATTGAAAAGCATTAATTGCTGGTTTCTGGCGGAATCCAACGTAGCCGTTATGCATGACTAGTTTGGTGCAAGGATAAAAGTGGATGTGGTGCACCGAGTATTCATTCAGCAAGGTCGTGGTTGCTGTTTTCAATGGTCAAACTGACTGTCCGCACAGACAGGCAAACTGAAGGGGGACACATGACCCAAAACACTGCAGTGATTGATGCTCCACTTGGCCTGATATACTTGCTGTGTCCTGAAATACATTTTCCAGCGGTGTCCAAAATGTTTTCTCTACAAAAAAGAGGGGAGGGCGAATAAAAAATATATACAAAAAAAATTCAAATGCCTTCTACTTCTTATAAAATGTAAAAATGTTAAAATGGAATATTAGAGTCAAATTTGTCGGTAGAATTAGGCGAATACCTAAGCCAAAGGTGCTCAAAAGGATGCCATAATAATTACAAACCAACTTGAAAATACTCAAATAAAAGTTTACAACGAAATTATGTATTTAAACTAGTAAAGGTCAAGCTTAAAGTCAACCTAAAAGTCATTTTGTTTTTTAAAGTTCAATGATTCAATCACTGCTAACACACATGTCATTATTATTGGTCAGAAGACAGAGACAACAGATATAGAAATGCGAGGAATGTGTTAGACAGAATAACCAAAGGTCTCTGGAACCCAGCCTGTCTTTAGATAGTATACACAAGTAGACATTTTACAGAAAACAGGTGTGGTGGTCGTGAAAAAAAAGTCAGAGGGAAAACAGGCTTCTGCTAACCTTCTAACTTATTACCACTGAGGGCAAATATCCTTAAGAGTAGACTTTGTGCTCTGAGGTTATGAGTCAATACAGCCTGATGCATATTGTGTGTTTGATCAGTAACCTCTGACAAACTCAGACAGCTTCCCTTAAGTTGATCTGCAACTGAACTTTGTACCTGTTTTATGAGTGTATTTATAAAGCTGATGTTAAGACCCAGAAATGTAACATATTTTAAAATGTCTTGCTAAAACCTTTTTCACCTTATGGACTGATTTGATCTGATGTTGAGAGCCAACTGTATACTATGTATTCTGTCAGTGCTCATACTGTATATGGCCAGTATTAATGGATTAATGCAGTTTCTGTTTGGCTGTATGTCCTGACCTGCTGCTGTTTCAATATAAACTTAATTATCAATCAAATAATGGTTCATGTAATCTTATTAGTTTTCACAGACCTAGGTTTTTTGTCATTCAAGTTGCATTGTGGGTGTTTGTTTGTTTACACATTACAGTGTGTCCATCCTGACTGGCTATGGAGTGGAGTTGGCTTCAGACTGGATGACAGAGTCTACAGGGAGGACACAGTCACTCAGTTACTAAAGAGACAGATGAACACTGACTGGCACTGACATCCTGTATAGCTGATTTCTTTTATCTCCTTCTCTCTGTTTAACATTTCCCCCCCTTAATTTTTTCACATTTTTCCTCTCTATCCTTTTCTGTGTTTTACTGGAGCCTTATTCTTTTTCATTTAAATACTTGACTTTTTACGTGTTTCCAACGATCCAGTATGAGCTGGCTAAGTAGACTAAATCCCAGAGCTCCCGGAAACCGGCCTGGCCGCAGCACTACTCCCTCAAGTCCTTGCACTGCTGACCCGGAGACCTGCCTAATGGTCTTTCAGAACCACTGGAGACAGGTGAGATTGAACTCAAATCTGCTCAGAATTGAATTTCTAAAATGGGAACTTGGGTACACGCCTGAAAACACATTGATGAAGTAAGTCTCTGACAGGCCACACCAGCAGAATTTCTAGAACCATTCCACTATCCATCACAGACACCACTTTGCACGTTAAATGGATTTTGCCCAACCCCACTGTAAGCAGTTGTCTCACTATCAAATAAATGGCTTGAATTATTATGTCTTACATTAGAGTTCAGTGTTGACCGTAAAACACTGCTCTCACTTTGACTGGAGAGCAGTTAGGATTGAAAGTCTCCCTCAGTAAATGATTATCTGTCCAGACAGTGGACGTCAATATACACACTTTCAATTGCCCTATTTTAACGCCAGAAGTGGCTCATGTCCAGTTACTGGCCGATCTTTTATAGGATCCACAGCCTTGACACGTGCTTCACAATACTGTGCCTTTTTAACCTGACACTAATTGTGCATAAAAACATTGGTTGTAAAAAGAAAGAAAAAGCTGACTTTAATCTTAACCGGAGTAGTTGCAACATTCTCGAGATGATGATTCACTTCTACATTTTGGTGCAGAACTGTTTATAGCATGCATGTTTAAATGGAGACACATTTTTCCAGATTGTGTTGAATAAAAGAGAATAGAGGTAATTGTTGTTTGTTTGTTTCCTATTAAATAATATTTGTGATAAATGAGACCAAAATTATGTGTTTGTCTCATTTGCAAATTGACTAAAAGGTGTTGATCTTCAACTTGTACAATTAAAGGAATATTGAAGTTGCAAAAACGAGAAGGAAACGTCTTATCTCCACAAGATCTGCAAATTCATCATTCTTACACTCGGGCTGACAGGGTGACTGAGATGTTTATAAACCCGTGGTTAACAGCAAAAAGAATACCAGTTCAATCCCCTGTGGTTTCTGATGTTCTAATGTATGAAGTTTGCATGTTCTTCAGGTGAATGTGTGGGTTTTCTCCCAGGTAGTTTGATTTCCCAGAGACATGTGAATTAGGATAACATTTCACTATGTATGATGTATGTCAAGGTCAGGGCTCGCAGGCCAAACCTGGCACACCACATTATTTTATGTGTCCCACCAGAGTTTTCTATTTCTTTTTCAGGTTTCTTGGGTGTTGGAGCAGCCTTCCTCTTCCAGTGATGATCTGACAGCAGTGAGGAATCACACAGACCAGATGTTGTGTTTGCTGGCAGAGGAGAGGCCAGTTGAGAGCTCAGAGGGAGGCACTGCTGTGTCACTCATGGGCCCCATACTGGAGCTGGTAGTCACTGAGAATATCCTGGAGGGTCTGGTTCAGTGGCACCTGTGCAGAGGCCTGGACCCAGACAGTCAGGGGGCGCTGCTCAAGCTTTTCGAGATGCTCATCGGCCAATCCCAGCAGCCTTTGCTGCAGCACACTGCCATCCTTCACCCCCTGCTGAGGCTCTTGGGAGCTTGTGCTGACCATGACCTTGGTTGTCCTCCAGCTCTTGAGAACAGCTTAGTACTGCTGCTTAACCAGGTATATGTACTCGCCACTTCCTTTTGTACTGCGTGACATGTTTCATATAGTTAAAAGGAAAGCATATTTTGGAAAAATAAAGGCATTAGAGATGTAATATGTGGACAATGACTGCAGCATAAGTTCACTTTGCAAAACATTCAGAACATGCTCCTTGGACTAATTTTTTATAATTACCATATTTGAATATTTGTTAGTAGGGCTTGACAGAAACTTTTTGAAGATTAAAAGAAGACACTGGTAGATACGGTAATTGTTTTGCTTTAGCAAGCAAGCTTAAAAATCTTCCAACAAGCGGGGGTAACAATATTGAGTTTTTACGATGTATAAATATTTTTTCACATGTGATCTAGAACCAGGCTATGTTGTTTATAACCATATATGTATGCCTTAATGATAATTCTACTTACAAAACCATACAATTCTTTCCACAATCTGTCTTTGGTCAATCTTCTTGACCTGTCTCCCTCCTTCCATATGTCCCACCAACAACCTTCTCACATTTAGAGACAACGGCGTCTTGCCCCTGGGTTCACCACAACTGAACCTAGGGCAAGATCTAATTTAGAGGAGTAACTTCAGCTGTAATATTTATTTTTACATTCCCCATCAGGTATGTGTCACCATGGCCCGACAACCTGTGGTCTTAGAGATGCTGTTTAGGGCAGCGCCTGCCCAGCAGGGCTCTACCAATCTCCTGATCTTTTCACTCCTCGTGCCATTCATTCACCGAGATGGAGCCATTGGACAGCAGGCACGAGATGCTCTGCTGCTCGTCATGGCAGCCTCAGCCAGTCATGAGGCTGTGGCGCGCTACATCGCTGAGAACTCCTACTTCTGCCCAGTAAGATTTTATTGTTTAAAGATATTGTTGTTGAGTTGTTACATGTACAGAATAACATGGTTATAACTTACACCATGGTTACAGTAAAGGACAGAGTATAATGTAACCTCCTGTTCTGTATTGGTACGTTGGTCGGTTTGCTCAGTTTAATGCACCATTAATGTGAGTTATTCTTCCTTATCTGTATGTCCGTATGTCAAGACTTCCTGTGAATTTATTAAAAAAATAACCACATCATCTAACAAGAAACACACTTTAAACAGGGTTTGTGTCACACACACTCTCTCCGTGTTACTCAACAAAAATCAATGGAGCCAAAAGTTTCAGGATGAAATCTATTTGTGATGCCTTAATATCTGGAAGTTAAACTTTGATATTGTTTGTGTTGGTTGAAGATGCACGTCTTCACTCACCTCTAATGCATTTGATGAGAGCTCAGTCCATGGAGGTCATTGTCCTGCCGTGTTGTAATTTATCACAGCTGCCACTAGATGCAATTAAGGAACCACATTTAGCAACAGCACTGCACTTAAAGGTGTCGAGTATATCTGTACCTCTAGGTTAGACCACTAATAAACATCAGCTGCATCACCAGTTTCATCTGAAACCCATCCGTCTTTCTTTAGGTGTTGGCGACGGGCCTCAGTGCACTGTACTCCTCTCTGCCCAGGAAGATTGAGGTTCGAGGGGACGACTGGCACGCTCTAAGACGCGAGGACTGGATAGGCGTGTCGTCACTGGTTCTGTTCATGAATTCCCTTGAGTTCTGCAATGCTGTAGTGCAAGTCGCCCATCCACTAGTTCGCTACCAACTCCTGGATTATCTCCATAATGGCTTCCTAGTACCGGTCATGGGCCCTGCACTGCACAAGGTAAAAAAAAAAGACTGCACATACAAGAGGGACTATTTTTTAAGTCTCATATTTGTCAAAAGTGAGACTTCAGGTTCATAGAGTTGGATTAGACATCACTGTGCAACGGCCCGTAGAATGCACAGAGAGTTGTTTTCAAAAGCTTGGTGAAGCCCTTGTCCTCAACAACAATAATGAGTCTACAGTCCATTTGACAATTGTGTCTGTAGACTTACCAACTTCGTGAAGCTGCAGGTTGGGCATCTGACCTGAAGTTGAAGCCTCTGCTAATTTGTACTGGACACTGAGATGGTATTTTAACCTTGAGCTGCAACATTGACCTGTGTACTAGAGCAACAATAAGTGGATGGAAAAGAAAATTATTGTGTAATTATTCTGCCCATGCATTTAAATGGCTTTACTCTGTTACTAAAGAGCTTTAGCACTAAAAGCACTTTGCTTAGAAATTAACCTATTATCACTGTGCTGCTAAGAAATGTAACCTTTAAGACAACTTGGAAAATGCATGTTTCGGTTGAATATCCTCTCTTAGAGAACATTGCTTCCTCTGACAATTTCATTAATGCGGCTGCACATTTTGAAAAGCACTACATAAGTAGCTACGTTTGGTAGTACCTTTTGTTATAAGTTAAAAAAAAGTCTTGTGTTCTTTTTTTGCCCAATCAAATGTGGGTTTCTAGTCGTCGGTGGATGAGATGATCGCCAGTACTGCCTATTTGGACCTTTTCCTGCGCAGTGTGACCGAAACGTCCCTTCTGAAAACCTTCCTGCGTTTCATTCTGCTGCATTGCCACGACAACGACACCATCCTGGACACACTTCTCACACGCATCAGTAGCAATTCAAGGGTATGCATTTATAATCTGTCTCTACTGGGTATGTTTGAATGGTAAAGCTCGAACGGCCACAAATGAACCTGATGAAGTGGGTGTTGAGTGGGCTGGCAGCAGAAGTGGTATATGACTGCATCAGGCACAAATCAACTACTGAGAACCAACATCAGTAACAGGCATTTATTTACTTTTTTGTCACATATGTTTAAAATGACATTCCACATATAACACACATTTTTTACTCATTTTGTCATATTTTTTTTTCACAGTATAAAAGTGGATTTAATGCCATTTATTATTTTGCTAATGAATGAGTTGAACTAAAAATGAACTTTGTTTTGTATATTGAAATTGTATGATTTAACTTCTACAGTGTCGGCCTCCTACAGTGGTACATAAAGCATGAACATATTTATATCTCTAATCTAGCTTCTTTAAAGCACTTTCCATCTGTTTGTGTGTTACAGCTCTGCATGGTTTCACTGAGTCTCTTCAGGACCCTGCTCTCCCTGCACTGTGAAGACATCATGCTGCAGCTTGTTCTCAGGTGTGTTGGAGCTCCTGTGGAGATGCCGTCCCCAATTATGTTATGTTTTAACTGAAAATAATGACAATAAAGACTATTCTATTCTATTAAGCCAATCACAAGGACAGCAGTTAATAATTACCTTTCTCTGCTGTTGGTATGTTATTGTGTACAGTCTTTCCTATTGTATTGCTCCAGTACCAGAGGTACAAAAGGGCTTGTTTTAAGACCCAGGAAAACTCCCTCTGTCCCTGGTTGGTGTGAATTTCAGCCTACTGGTCAAATGCAAAAGAGAAGTTTTTATAAGTATGACCAATAAACCTGCTCCAAAGTGATAAATTAGCGTTCATTTGTATTTGTAAAAGCTGCACATATTTTTAAGGCCAATTTGCCTAAAAATCAACTGCATTTGACCGTAACTGATTCTTTTTATCACCAGCATCAGTAAACCTCTGAAGGTAATCCTTAATAAGTGTGAAAAATGCTTACCCAACAAAGGGTGTAGAGAACAGACATGGACTGCACAGGGTCGTTTTCTTTTTTTTTGGTTTCCTGAGGCCATTGTACTTCTCTGACATGCTTGGTAAAGGGAGTGGCAGGCGGAGAAATCTTCCATTTGTTGTGCTCTACAGACCTGTGTTTACACAGTGGACAGGAATGTCATAAAACTTGCTGTCAAGGAATGATTGCTCATGTGCTCACAGGTATCTACTGCCCTGCACCCATGTGATGCTGAGTCAGCGTCGTGCCATCAAAGAGACAGACATGTATGGAAAGTCAGCTGCTAAGTTCCTGTCACTGATCCCAGAGTGCTGTCGAATCTATACAGCACCCTCTGCTGAGCGGGAGGAGGACAATCCGTTCTGGAGCAAAGGTGTACTTTTTATTTGACTGCGTGTGAAGTGCTTAAATATATTTCAATGCAATTACATGTTGTCCACAAACATTATCTCATAAAAAAACTAAACGATATCATTGTTTTGGTTGTGTGTAATTATAGAGTAGTTTTAAGTGCTAATTAGTAGACACTTGTAAGGTTCAGAGTCACATCTGGTTTGAGAGTGGGCTGCCAGACATTTCTGCTCCTACATGCTCCAAAACAATAATTGAACTCCTTTCATATTTAAACATAACAATAGCAGCAGAATCTTAAATGGTATTAATCAGATGCTTTTTTAAATTTCTTATCTGTAATACATAAATCCTTTTTCCCTCTGCTATACAAAACAGCACTTCATAGTCCCAGCACAGAGACTCCAACCCCACCAAGACCCAGCACCCCATCACGGCTATCCTTCTTCATGCGCCAACAGAGCAGTGGAGGAGGTTCAGGAGTAGGGGGAGCCACTACCCCCTCTGGTATGGAACAACTGCAGTCTGGCCCCGTCACGTCCCCTGACAGCCCTATGCACCAGCAGACAAACACAGATTGTTTGGACTGGGATTCTGGATACCTGGAGTACCTTAAAGATGCCCGCAGGGGCATTGAGCTATGCTCCTGGGCCTGTTGTGATTGGTCGGCACCTTACGATGGAGAGAACCCTTCCCCCAACTCAGCCCCTCCACCTCCACCTCCCCCTACATCTAACCCCTCTATGGCAATTTTCCCGGAGCACTTCTCCTTTCAGCAGGGAGCAAGCAATAACACTTCTCCTAGTCAGCAGAGGGCGGCCATTGTGGCTGCTGCACGGTCAGAGTGGAGCAGCTCAGAGCGCGACAGCGGAGAATGGGACATTACAATAGGTAAAAACAGCTGCATCAGCCTAACACCACGCTCCAAAAAACGCAGCCTGCAGAGAGAGGAGCTCCTGCCAAAACCAGTACCTTCTCTGGTCCAGTCCTCCATGCAATCCAAAGCTGCACCTTTATCAGTTTCCCTCACTGCCTCACCCTCTGCGCCCCACAATCCCACCTCAGCCATCACTATTAGTTACCAGGCAATGTACAATGGAACAATCAGACAGAGTGATGGATGCTCAGACAGTCGAGACAGAGGCCTGGAGGTAAAGAAAGTGAAGAGAGACTTGGGGGAGCAGCAGTATCTGGATGAAAATGCAAATCAGAATGGATCACTAGTCACACGTCCTCCAAAAACCTGCACCGTTCTCCCACAACCAGTCTTTAACAACACTGACATGAGTGATGCTAAATCTTTTTGTCCTAACTCTTTGTCCTCACATAGCTCCATTCCCAGGACAAACTCTGACTCCAATCTGCTGACCAGTGACACCTCAAATTTAAATAGTACATCCTCAGATCTTCCAGAAGCCAAGCCACCTCAACAATCTGTAGAGAGTCTTATCAAGGAGCTGCTGGAGCAGGTGCCAGGAGACACTCCACCCTCTGGAGACTCCAATGGTCAGGGCATCAGCATTGAGGCCTTCACAGAGGAACTGAGGGAGCTGGAGAACCGTGTGAAGGAACGCAGCGTAGCGGCCTGCCAGCAGGAGGAGGACACAAGCAAAGATACCCTGACTGCTGAACAGCAGGAGGAGGTACAACAGCAGGCCTCAGCCCCGGAGGGGAAGCTCTCAGGTGACACAAAAGGAGAAGATTCTTTGATGGGTCTTTGTAGCCCTGCCAGAGCCCTGAATCAGCCTGCTTCTCAGCCATACACAGGTGAGAGGCATGATGTCTGTCATTGTGGTACTGCTGTTTATACAGTATGCTGTCTTTTTCATATGTAGTAGGTGACATAGGAGTAAAAACAAAAAAACAGTTTAAATTATGTTAATATAATAATTCCTTTTTGGAATTACATGTATTTAATTGGTCCTCATCAAAATGTGAAATTCCCCACATGACCTCAGCTGTGTTAAAGTGCTGCGTAATACAGATCACCCCTCCCATCCCCTTCGTAGGGCCATTTATGGTGGTTCTGTTTTCCAAACTGGAGAACATGCTCCAAAACTCACTATATGTCAACATCCTGCTCACGGGCATCGTGGCTCAGCTGGCCTGTTATCCTCAGCCTCTCCTGCGTTCCTTCCTGCTCAACACCAACATGGTCTTCCAGCCCAGCGTCAAGTCACTGCTTCAGGTACTTCTTCAGCTGTTTGCTACACCTGGGACACAATGATAATTATTAGGGCACTGTACTGTAAAACATGTACACTGTAAAAGAGAGCAAATCCTCTGAATTCATACTACGTTGTTATCTCTTCGCTACAAAACTCTGACTTCTCATTCAACCCACTGAAGTTGCAAAATTGAACATGTCTAGCAGGAAAAAACTGTCTGTCTGTCTTATCGTCTTTGCCAGAATCACTAAAGCCCTAAATGATTTTTTTTTTAGAATGCTGAAATCGGTCAAAACAAGACAACTGCTTCTTAACATCACAGACTTCTCTGAAGCTTTGTTCTCTGATTTACCCCAGGTTCTTGGTTCTGTGAAGAATCGCATCGAAGCGTTCGCAGCCTCCCACGAGGATTTTCCTGCCATGCTGAAGAAAGCCCAGCAGTACCTGGTGGCCCGAGGCAAAGTGGACTGGGCCGACTTGCCTGCAGCTGTTCCCATGCTGCGGCGCTCTGATTCCATGGGTGAGTGGGAAAAACAAACAATACAGCATTCAGACAGACAAGTGGCTTTGAAAAAAAAGAGGTTTGAAATAAGAAAAAGAAATGCATTTCTTTAGTGTGAAGCTTTTACCTCATATGGAATCCAACCACGTTTGTCCTATCTTTAAAGTCATGATTTCTCTGATTCAGTCAGGTCTCCTGGGAACTAACAGGTAATGGGTTTCCCTTCTGTAGCCGAACACAAATAAAGCCCTCTGGGTTTAGCTTGTGTGAATGTTGTTCTTATTACAGTTCTGCTTATCAACTCCTGCTCTTGTTTTGACCCTTGCCTTGACCCCAAGTTATTTTCTGAGATAGGAGGCTTTATATTTCTTTCTGTGCATTATGTCAACTCTGCCGTACATAAACACACCGTGCATGCTATCGATATGTGTGTGTAAAAACATGTACTGTCAAGTGGATGCATTAGCATCATGACATACTGACAATGATGATTTTTTTTTTACCAGAAATATGTAACCAACAAATCTGAACATGGCAAATCTATTTACAATAGAGACTTTCAAAAGTAATGTGTTAACCACAATAATTAATTTGTGGAATAAATCAGATTTTAACGCATGGGCAAATTGAAGCACTGCATATCAAGTAATTTACTTATTTTGCTCTGTATCATTATTTACACACACTGAAGAAAAAGGTGGGTGGTTTTCATTTCACTGTAGCAACTCAGGTTTAAAATATCTTCTAAATGGCCAACAAGTATTCGCAGAGACTTCAACTTCCGGTTCTTTGCTGTTCAACAAGCCGTCATGATGCAGGGTAATGACTAAAATCCACCAACACTATAAGGCTAAATTAAAAATGTTCTCATTCAGTATAACAAACACAACACGTGGGATTTGAGATTCTCCATCCCAGTCATGTCGTTGCATCCGCCTCCTGTTGCTCATTTAAAGTGTTTCTTATATTCTTTGCTTTTCCAGTGAAAAGTCGTAAGCCATCCCTTGGTGACCTGATCCTCCGTCACACCAACAGTCCGACCCGGGCTCGGCATGCCGCTCAGCTGGCACTTGCACATGTTCGGGATGGCAGCCAATCTTTACACAGTGCTCTGTTCCGGGGCAGTGGAGGCGGAGGGCCATCTGGGCTGGAGAAGCAAGCAGAGGCACTGCGAGTGAAGAACGCCGTCTACTGTGCTGTCATCTTTTCCGAGTTCCTCAAAGAGCTTGCTGCCCTGGCTCAAGAGCACGCTGTCACGCTGCCCTTTCCTCACAGCCAGGAGTCAGAGGAATAGACGGTGACACACACACCCACACTCCTCTCTTTGTTAGGGAATGTTTTTTCTTATTTGACTGTAAAAAGAGTTGTATAGGTTCTCCATCACCAGACTGCAGCACTGAGACTTCTTCTGTCAAGAAAGTGGGTCATCTGTAATGACGCAGACGACCACTAGAGGAAAACAGTGTCATTTTTGTACCAAAATCATCATAGGACACTTGCAGGACTGGAAGTATTTTCCTCATTTGTAAACTTATTGTGAATATCATGTATAATATTTACATTGTACACACAGAGAGATCTGAGAGTAAATGTGAGAGGTTGGGGAAGATGTACGTGCACATACTGTCTGTGTATACAGTGATACTGTGTACTGTAAAAGAAGTTGGTGCACAAACCGGTGCTAGTCAGTCACCTTTAAACTGAAAAAAAAAAAGCAGAAATTATGACAAACACCAAAAACTGACAGTAATTGTTCACAGTGGCTGGTAAATGCAAAAAAAAAAAAATCCAATCAGATTTTTATCTTCAATCAAAAACAAACTAAATTCAAGAACATTTATTATTATTTTCCATTTTCTTTAACAAAGGATTCACTGCTGCAAAAGACCAGACATGAATGCGATAATAACTGGACAAATGGGAAATGGAGGCACCGGTGCCATTTAATTTTCCTGTGAATCAACACGATCATCGCTAAAGTACTGGAAATCTTTGGATCATTATCGGCATTCTGTTAAATGTAGATTTTTCAAGTTTGTCTCTAAGATTTGCACCAGTTTGTAAACATATCAGCAACACATGGAGGAAAGTGTGTGTGTTTTCATGTGTATGGGTTTTATTTTAATGGCCGTCAGGAGGTTGTGTGATTTCAAGTCTTTGATATTTCACAGTTCGTACCATTGATATGTCATTCAGTCTCGTTAAAAGACCTGGCAGCCGAAAGAATGTGTTTTTATTCTTGGCATGATTTCCATTTATTTTGAACTGACGGTTAAAGTCCTAATGAGACGTTCACTGACTTTATTCAAGCAGCTCTTCTGTTTGGGATGTGAGCCGAGAATAAATCATTTAATTTAGGTTTTTTTTCTATCTTTGGGAAGTTTTATTTAGTTTTTAGCCAAACTGATCGAAAACTGTTTATATTCAAACGTAATGTGCTGCTATTTGTTTTGAACACTAACATCTGTTTATATTTTGTTCTCATTTTATTCTGTTGTTCGGTACCAAGTATTAACTGTTGCAGTGAGGGTGAGGAGGAGACAGTGCCTGTGTCGTCGGTGTGATTGGCTTTTAATTTATTCTCTTGTGTTTGAAGTTGAATGAAGTTGCAGTTTCAGTGTCATGGAATTTTGCCAAGATGAAAAACCTATTGAAAAAAAGTGGGTGAACATTGAAGGTTTTGATTTGTTGTGTGTTGTTTAGAAAAAACACAGGCAGGTGTTGTTTCTGTCGTTTCACAGTTGATGTAGAAAAGTCTACACACCCTTGTTGCCATGACACTACTTTTTAAAAAAAAAAAATGTATTAAAAAAGTGACATGATTTAAATTTAAATTTGCAAGAATTTAAATCTAGAATAAGACTTTTGTTAAGAACATTTCATCTACTGAAGTAACTGAAAATCCATTTGAAGAAAATTTATAAAATTAAAATAAAAGTAATAATCTTTTAATAATATTTTCCTGCCACCATATCTTATATCGTATCTCTCTAGAGCAGGGATGTCAAACTCATATTCACCGGGGGCCACATCAGCAATACAGTTCCCCTTGAAGTGACGGTTGTAACTGGAAGACTGTATAGATCACGGTTCCCAGCCCCCGGTCCGTGGACCAGTACCTGTCCATAGGTCATTTGGTACTGGGCCGCAGTGGAACACAATAAAAAAAATGTACGGGTGGTACTGGCTGGAACAAAAAAGATTGTGGACTTTTAATTACTTAAATACTTAACTAAATGCTTTTTAGGCTCCAACGGGCCACACAGAACGGCTTGGCGGGCCGCATTTGGCCCCTGGGCCTTGAGTTTGACACGTATGCTCTAGAGGTTTGACTTGTGTTTTTTAATTAAACAAAAACAAATTGTGCAACATTTCAGCGAATATAAAATTTTTGGAGACATCTCTTTACTACCTTTTTATTGTTTACTATATCTAATGCCCTTTTCAGTATTTTATGCCTTTTTGCCAATATTTTTCAGTAATTAAAATGAGTAATACTACTGTAGTTGATAAATGTATCCGTTGTCCTAAGATGGTTTGATCTTAATTTATTTTTTTAATTAAAAAAACGACATAAGATCACCTTAATTTGATAAAACATTTTAACAGGGGTGTGTACACTTTAGAATTAACCGTAAACAAACCATTTTCCAGTTCTTACTGGAAAATGGTTTGTGAATTGTTAGTGAAATGGCCTGTGTTACTGGTATGGCTGCAATGTTGAATCCATTTTTTCTGTTGTATTTTTTGCACACACACGCCATTTTCTCCCAGCTCTCAGCAGAAACGTACTTTTCTCCAAAGTCTTATTCTCTAACGTCAGTCAACAACATTGTTCTTTGACAACTTTTTTCATCCCCACCTCCTGCACTCGTCAAAGCCATATCGTCCTGTTTGCACACGAAGCTTTTTAACACTGCTGTAACTCAACTTTTCTACAAAATTTCTACACACATTTTGTATCATCCTGCAAATTAGTTTTTTTGTTTTTTTTTTAAGTACCACCACGTAGGAGTTTCCACCTGCCGTTTGAGATCACAGACATTTATAACTATGTAACCAAATGGCGTAGATTAAGTTTTCTTTGGTTTGTGCGATAGTGCCAAGTTTAGGTTAGCTTCAATGCTGAAGATTTTTGGTGTCTTTTGTTTTTCCCCCCTAAACAACTCGTCCCCCTGCCTGCAGAGATCAACAGCTTCAACTAGAACATGTTGCGCACTGAAGCTCCTTCTGTTCGTCCATCTGTTCAGCTAAGCTGTTGTAAAAAAAACGTATTTTTGCATCAAGAAGCAAAAGCCACCAGGTGTCGCTGTACAGAAATTCTATTGGTTTAACTCTCAAGATGAACAGTAGTGTCAAAGGTTAGTTAAATAATCGATTATCTGTCAGCATGTAGGCTGACACCAAAGACCGTCTCCCCAGAATTCCCAAAACTCACCATCTAAAAATCAGTCAAAACGTTTTATCCCTAGTATAGTCTTAATTTTCCCCGCATGTCGTGTCAATAGTGTCAACCTAAATCAATGTAACACCAACTTTCTTGTCACGTTAGCAGTCACATGACCAAATATCCAACAAAGATTGTTTCAACTTCCTGGTGCTGTGACACTGCTGAATGATAAAATCAGAGGCCAAATACAAGGAAATAACAGAGAGGCACAGAATAGAATTTGGTGAGTTATCATTACTGACCTCTACAGTTTTTTTATATGAAGTGTGTTTGTCCGGTTCTCACACCGTCTTAGACCGAACTCATATCCAGTCTACACTTTACCAATCCCTTTAGTCTGTGCCCTACGGAATCACATACAGACATTTTCTGTACTTTTGTCCTCCATTGAAAACCGTGAAACAGACTCAGTTCTGAAAAGAACAGAGACTAGAACAGAGACTAGAACAGGGACGTGCAGTAGTTAGTGTTGAAAAGGGAATTGTTCTGTGACCCTGAATAACCCAATACTAATTGGCATTGGTTCATTGCGATTGCAGTTCTAATATCTAAAGGCCAGGTACCAGTCCACACTTCCTGCTCATTTTCACTCCACTGAGCTTTTATTTATTTATTTTTTTAATTATCTTTTTCTCAACATTAGAGGCAAATCATCGTGACATTGTTGGTTTTTGTAAAGAAATTTGTTCTGCCTTGAACTTTGACAGATTCACGTCAGACAAAAGTTTGATGAATTTCAATATTCTCTCTGCTTTTCATCGACCGCTCTCTGAAATCAACCCCAGAGTCTGTCAGTTCTAATCAATGTTCCATTGTTATTGTGTGATTAAATGGATCACTTTATGAATTTTGGTATCAAAATCTTACAATGAAGATTTACCTGCCAATGTTTTCTCTGCTGGTTGGTCTGAACCAGAGCATGTGACTGAAGCAGAGGTGAGCGGGCAGGGAGATGGACTTCAGTGGACACAGGTTACTCTGTCTGTCCTCTGGTAGAAACATAAAGATAGAAATGTAGGATTCAACTGTAGAGAAGAACACGGAGTATTAGTTTAAGTGGAAATTAGAAATGGCATAGGAGGAACCCTGAGGTTCAGGGGGCATTCTTATTGGAGCTCTGAGCAGAGCAGCCTGATGCCACCCCTTCATTCTCACATACACCGGTTCAGACGACAGAAGGGAGGGTAGAGAACAAAGCAGCAGTCTGTAAAAAAGAAACATCTTGAAACTGACAAATATGAAGCCAAGTTTCCAAATCTAAAGCTAAGCTTAAAAAGTGTGTTTTCTTTGCTGTCTGTTCACCACAGACTTACTTGAACACTACAATTTATCTGTCAGTAAAACTCTTGATAAGAGTTTTCTTTTTATATATATTTTTTTAATGTTGGCTGATTTTCACTAACTGTCTGCGTTTGGTTTATTCAAGGGATATTTGTTAAACAACAAGCCAAAGGGTCACATGATAGAAATAGAAGCCGATGATTTACTTCACCTTTAAAAATCATACATGCAAATGTCACATGTACTGTATGTAGTACTGCATGGCTGATCCCTGCACTGCGTCTGAAGGCCTCAGTTTGACTGCGGTTTATTCTCACATGTGATTTCTTGATATCGTACACTTTGTGCTATTGTTTGTTTTGTTTTTTTTACTTACAGTCTGAAGTGGCTCTTTGTTGCTCACCGTGGAATGTACAGCATCCTTTTCACTCCTTTGTCCTTGAATTTGGGAAGATGTGATTCCTGACTAATGTTTCCCCCATCATGTGATCTATGCAAAACACTGCTCTCCCGTCCTGGGTTTGGATCAGAACAGATGATGTGGAATGATTTACTGTGTAAATACTGTAAAGAAAAAAAAAACACATACGAAAAACTATGTCAGAAAAACAAAGAAAAATCAACGGGTCAAAATGAAAATCCTACTCAAATGATGTAATGATGTTGAATGTTATCAGAAATATTTTTCTATATTTTAAAATTGTTTTGGGTGAAAAAGGACAAAACACCAATTGGGGAAAAAATTCTGCCACAGAAACACTTCAAAGGGAATGTTTTTATTATTTATAAATTCTTTGCCTAGCAATCACGCATTCGTCTGTGTCTTCTCTCTTCATGCTGTGTTTGGTGAAGTGTGTTCCTCAGGGATGAGCAATTGATACCCGGTGTCTTATTTTAATCTCCCCAAATATACATCATTAGACTTTAGTCTATAATTTATTTTAATGCCATATTATGCTGACTAATCTGAATTTGTCAATAGAAACCTCAGTCATATATTTCCTTATACAAGAGCACTTCCTTCCACTCTGCTGCTAACCACAATATATAGAAATATATCACACTCCACATACAGGCACATATATACAGTATATATCCTAAATATGTGTTGCATATATGTATATATAAATATATACATGTATATATCATGTTGAGAAAAGCTCGTAGAAATCAGCACTAATACACATGATTCCAATTGAATAGAACAACATGCAGGGACTTAAGTTCTCCTGGAGCAAAGATGAAGGATCTTTATTAGCTTCATATGTCCATATTTTTCAACTTCACTCCAGGAAATTCTTAAATGCATCACAAGATGAATGAAAAAGGCCCAGTGTAGAATCTTGGGAGTTTCCATTCAGAGGAAACTGGAGACAGCTCGCTGCTAATCTCCTAGCAACAGCCAACATAAGAGGAAGGAGAGCAGGAGCAGGGGCTAGAGGTCGATGTTTGAAGTGGAGCAGAGAAGAAGAAAGTGAGATGGACTGAAGAGGAGCAGAGAGCAAGTTCAGCAGCAGAGCTGGTACCTGGCCGCAGGTAAGAACCTTTCCATATCTTTCATCACTCACTCACAAAATCACATTTTCATGCTCACCTCGAAGCTTGACTTGTCTTAAATTTTATGTTTAAAACATGGATTAAAACTAAAAAGTATAGTATATAGTATATAAGTATATAAGTTCAGAGACATTTTCCCTCTCAGTTTGCTCTCTGTGTTATTTTGGTTACTTTTGATTGAGACATTTCATTAACATTTATCCTCATATAACTCTATAAGTCTCCTGAGCACTATCCAAATGAGCAACTGGACCCTCTTCATCTATTATGTATCTCTGAAATTTGAGCAGAAACTTCAGTGACACAGAGAAGGAACTGGCAACGTGCCTGAGATCTACAGGCCACTGCAACAGACATGAAAGTTTTTTTGTTTTTTTTTAAAGACGAGTACAGGCAGAAAATTGTTCACTTGATATTTGTAAAAGCAGACAAAGGAGTTCTCAGGTATCACAGGAACAGGTGCCGCTCATAAAGACAGTATTATGTGAGAAAGGCGAAGTATTAATCGAACAGGAAA